CAGCGAGCTAGATTAACTAAAACGGAATCATGTGACCTCTGTATGTGTTGGATAATCTTTCGCTGATTGAGAGAAACTCTTTCGAGGATTATGTCCATTCGATCGTGGCTATGCAAGTTAAACGCATCCAAATCACCCTGCGTCAGCGAATTAACCATTTCAAGCCCGTGAGTGAGTTTCTTGCCAACCCCTATCAGTACGTTCACAATCTATCATCCGTAAATCTGGACAAAATTTCGTTGGAAGCATTGTGTCTAGAACCAAAGTTTTGTTATCCTAATGGCAGACCTAATCAAATCGATTTTGAGGTGGAATTTGAAAATCTATATGAACAACTCTCTGATCTCATTCCCTCATCAGCCTTGGAGTTGGAAAAGCTGAAATGAGCCTTAGTGCATGCTATCAACATCAGAGTGTGAAAGTAAAAACAAGTAAACTAGTGACACCGAAATATCTCAAACGACTCAGAGACCTACAGAAAAACAGAAAAATCATTATATCCAAACCGGACAAAGGGGCGGGGATCGTGCTTCTGAACCGAACGGATTATGTACAAAAGATGGAAGCCATATTGAGTGACATGTCGAAATTCAACAAAATAATGGAAGAGGATAGGAGCGCTCAAACAGAGGTTGCGTTATCTAAGATATTGAAATGTTTAAAGCAAAACGGAGTCATCGATGCGACCATTTTAAAACGGATCCGGCCAACTGGGACAACGATTCCCAGACTGTACGGGTTGCCGAAGGTGCACGAGGAAGGGGTACCCTTGCGACCGATTCTGGATATGTGCAATTCACCGTACCACGCACTTGCAAAGTGATTGGTTAAATTACTAGAGCCCGTTGGAATTGGATTAGCGAAACACAGCGTACAGACACATTCACATTTGCTGACAGCATTCGTGATTTAAACCTGATGAGTCGGACAATGTTCTCATTAGACGTTAGTTCGCTGTTAACCAATGTTCCAATCAGCGAAACCATCGAATACCTGTGTAGTTATGTACTAAGTAACTATGTTGAGTTAGGCCTTCCTTTGGAAGACCTGAAACAACTGCTTTATGTTTGCATATACCACTTCCAATTTAAGTTTAACGAGCAGATTTATCGACAAAGGGATGGTATGGTCATGGGATCATCTCTAGGGCCGTTATTTGCCGATGTGTTCGTGGTGAAACTCGAAAATAACCAACTCCAATCTTCCAATCAGGATTGGGTGTTATACACACGCAATGCGGATGATAATCTGTACGTGATCGACACAAAATCAGGAACAAATAAGCCGTTGAACCAGTTCAATGCTGCTCGTCAAAACATAAGCTTTACTTTAGAAATGGTAAACAACAACTAATTGGTATTTCTAGACGTCTGTCTGAGTCGCAGATCGGATGGCTTGGTGCAACTATCAGTAACTTGGAAGGGCTAATAAATTCATTTTCGCAGCTTTGTATCGCTCAAAGTGAAGAGGAATTTGGTGCGCTGCCTAGCAGACAGAGCAAAGAAAATTTGTAGCGAGGAAACACTAGAAGAGCTCCGGCTCTTACGCACTATCCTCGCACACAATGGCTATCCAGAACGACTAGTTAGCAAGATGATTCAGTGCAGTGGAGATACTGTGAAGAAGACCGAGATCAGAAAGAAGTCGGTATACATTGTCTTGCCGTTTAAGGAGGATATATCAGCAGAGATAATACAAAAAAGACTATCCGATGCTATTAGAAGGACCTTCTACACAGAAAAACTCAATGTTCTGTTCACGTCCCAGCCAATTGTTTGTTTACGACAAAAGGATGAAATGCCGGATTCTGCTTTCTCATTTACGTGTTAAACGGAGCAATGCACATAGGCAGCACAGTCAGGTGTTTGTCCGAACGCATCCGTGAAAACCACCCCGTATGGCTAAATACAGGAACGATCAGGTCCATCCTAGTGCAGTGGTTTTACACTTGGTTGAAACAAACCACACTGTGAATGTGACCGAGGCATTTCGTCCCCTGTATCGGGTTCGTGGTTGAATCTCAAAGCAGTTTCAATGTCGTATGCCGATCATAGCGGACGAGGTAGGAATTCGGTTGCACAAGCCCCCTCTATGTGCCCAAAAACAATTTGTGCAGGCGCTTAGGCTACCTTGGTCCACTCCCTACACACCACATATCCCGAATGGTTCGAACGATCGAATAACCTAACTATTATGTGGTCATTGAGAATCCCACGTTCGGTCCAAAGACAGAATTAGTCCCAGTTAATCTATGATGTTATTTTCTCTTCCCCCAATCAATTGTTTGGTTTTCTCATGTTTGAATATCGATGCATATATAAACAGCGTGATGATTATTGCGATGTAATTGGTATGACTACAAATCACTGAAAACGAACTTGTTCGCCACTTTTTGTGCTATTCAAAGTGTGCTCTGTGGGAATGTTTAGACAAAACCCTTGAAATTTTCAACGAGCGTAACACCCCACTTCAATTCTTACCTTACGGACTTTAGATGCAACCTCCATCAAGATTCACTTCCGTGTAACAAGTGATTCGGTATCAGTCGCTGGATGTCCGCGGACCCATTCCTCCAGATACTAAATGCGACACAGCGCGTAATGCCCATAAACAATAGCTTATCAAGAGCCTAGAAAATGACCGCGAGAAGTGGTGGATAGAAAAGCGATCAGGGATGGAAAAGGTTATGGCTATTGATAACAATCGTAACCTTTCCGTCTGTTTAGGAGTTCGGGACCAAGGAAAATAGGTCTGAGGTAATTAGGGGTGAAAAGCAAAAAGATTGAAAAACAGAACCGTCTCGAACGATGGATACAACAGTTCGAGGTGCAGTCCAACTGGCTCGCATTGACATCAAACCTGTCAACCTTTACTCCAATCGGGGACTCATTGCCAATTAATATCGGTTCTGCACCCGAAATGGAGCTAACCAGGGTAACCAGTTACATCAAAAGAAGCAGGTTCAGCCTTGGAGTTGACGCAACTCCTGCGCTCATAGTGGGAGAAGAAATAATTGTATCTATATTTCACACGTCTAAATCCAGGTTGGGCTTAACAAATCACGGTGCAATAGTTATTAGGAAAGGCAGAAATTCCATGAATTACTCTTGGGCAGGATACTACTAAGTTGCCCAGACCAAAGCTGAACTCTCTTGAGGAATTCACAACCGGATCATTCGGCTCACGCGAACCAGACCCGCAATGCAGCTGAGTGGTGCGAAAACTGTAGTCCATACGATCATTGGATTGGGTCAAACGTCCAAGGTGCCCAATACATCTCGTTGTCTAATCGAGCCGATGATCACTGCCACAATCGAGGTGGAAATACGTGTGGTTTGTACACCTCTTGGTTGGTATGGAATCACGTTTTTTAGACAACTCCCCTAGGTGAACTGTCAGTGGTTAACCGGCCCGGTTACAGCTCTGGATTTTGGCTTTTCGTCTCCTCACTTTGGTGGGAAAATACCTCTGCCACGAGAAGGCAGTGAGTAGGACTTCTTCTGTGCAGGGTAGGGATTTATTTCACTATCCATATTCCGTTATACCAACAGCCGGAGCCGAGTCTGAGTTCACCACGGGAAGCGCTACTCATCAAGGTTATCCGCTCTCTCAATCTTGTTTTATTCAATTTTCTAATGAATCTGGTACTAGAAAAAGCTCTGGCAACGGGTGGGGATAATGGCTAACTGTTTGATCTGCAGTATGCAGATGACATTGTGATGTAGACCAGTCACTTCTGCTGTAGGGTGCCGAGACTCGTTTCAGTTTTCTCAACCAGTAGTTATGCCCTTTCATGCGCCACTTTTGGTTGATGTTCCGCGAACCGGCCACTATGAAAACGAGATAGACTGTCCACGTTCGAACACAGCTGTCCACGTCGCTTTGCACAAGTGGTGGCCAAGTGGTTAGTGGTCACCAACTAGTGACCTGGGTGTCCCGGGTTCAAACTGCTCCACCGCCGCCCGTCTTCTCTATATCCTTATTTTCCCCAGACAGCCTTTGTATGGCCGTAGCCCCCTTCCTGAAAGTTGACTGTACATTTTTATATTCCATAAATAGAAAAAGGAAGTAAAAATACATTTTTTCTTGTCGGGAATCCGAACAAGCAATGATGAATTTAGGAGAAAAGCTTTAGGTAAACATGATCGGTCACTTGGGCAAGGTGTCGACCACCGTGGACTACACTGGTTGGGACATGTGCTGTGCATATCACCAAATAGATTGCCATGACGTGCGATATTTAGTGAGTGGAAAGTGGTCAGAATAAGCACTGGCATAAGGTCACCTTATGCTGTCTGAATGGGGATCTCGAGATCATCTTGAATCGTGCTTAGAGACCATGAGTAATAGGGTTGTGTTGCGGACAGTGACGCTCGTGTATCTACCGAATTGTTTTCAAACTTCTGGCTTCATGAATTCTGTATTGTTATCTTAATCATGCCTTTACTTCTCCATGAGAAGTCATGATAGAGCAACCAAAACCACCGCACGTAATATGTGTCCACAGTATGGCAAGTCAATCGAAGCTCTCACTCACTACCTCAGTCCGGCCATCTGCCGGAGGATCCCGTGAATGGCCTAAGAAACAATTAATGAAATGGTTGAGCCCCATGAACAGTGATGCTTGTGGGTTCACTTGATTTGTTCTCAAATTTAACTTAACTGTACATTTAAACTGAAACCGCTCTGGTCTTTCCTCTTCTTCAGGTTACACCTTTACCGTTGATCGACCGAATCGGTAGCAGCAGTAGCAGACAGCAACCAGAACTTCGGTACAAAAGTGAAAGATGAATGGTTGTATACACCGAAACTGAAACTACTTGGTACAAAACGGCCACCATTCAGAAATGACGGGAACCAAAGTGAGTGGTGGGCCTCGCACGTTTGTCTTGAACAAATCTGTTAGCTATCATTCACACAAATGCAGTGAACAGTGATCGCACATAGTACATTAGGTTGGACCTATTTCAATCTGTTCACGAAATAGAACAAAGAGATGATCAGGATTTATTCAAAAGACATCTGAGAACACCAATATAGGAGCGCACCTCGGCATCAGCCGAATCATCCGAGTTCGCACATACTGCATCTGACTGCACTAGCCAATTCACAAAGGATTTTCGCATAGTGCTGTTCTTGTCCAGGAACAGATCGGCACGGGTGGCTGTTTGTTTCGGTAAATTTTCCACATCAATTGCAGTATCCACGGAGGACGATTCGGAAAACAACATAATCAGACTGGCTAAAAGATGCTCGTTAGCCCGTGGAAGACCCAGACACAATGTGACGATCGCAGAAACAAGATTCTGGGCTTCGTTGTCACCTGAAAAAGAACAATACGGAGTTGTGAGCTATTGAAAATTCAGTTGCATTGAGGATTGCACACTAAAAGGTGATGGATGGGTTTTGAAACAAGAAATTCAAACTCTAATTGTTTATCATTTCATTTGCCAATGGAACGCTGTAGGCAAAATGATTGAAAATGTTTCCAACAAACCGAAAATATTGATAGTTTTTTTCCTGGACAACGAAAGACAGACCCCCGTGAATAATGCCTCGAAAGCCGCAGTATAGTCGGGAGTGGGAGTATACTTTTATGCCTGGTCACCTCTTTCTTGAACCTCGTGAAATGCTCTCATATGACCAAGTGTCTCAAATAGCCTCTGCTGAGGAAGCCCTACTCACTGCCTCGTCTTGACGGGGGTTTTCCCACCAAAGTGAAACGACGAAAAGCCAAAATCCGGGGTTATAATCAGGTCAGTGGAAAATTGGCAGATCACTTAGGGGAGTTGGCTAAAACCCCTGATTCCAAACCAGTCAAGAAGAGGCATACGAACCACAACCAATTACACCTTGGTTGTGGCAGTGATCATCCGCCCCATTGGGCATCGAGGTGTATTGGGCACCTTGGACATTTGACTCAGTCCAAAGATCATATGATCCAATTAACTGGACAGCAGTCTCTAATGGACTACGCTTTCCACACCACCCGGGGCATTACGGATCTGGTTTGGGTTAGCCGAACGAGATGGTCGTAAATTTCCTAAGATAACTTACCAACTTGGGCCTGGGAAACCTAGCAGTATCTTGCCCAGGAGCAAATCATGGAACTTTCTTTTCTTAATAACTATTGCCTGTGATTTCTTTAGCATTCGGTCTGAACTCAGACGGCAGAAATCGCGAAAAACATACAAGGTGCCATTAGGTCAAACGAAACCATGGCGATTTTACTTCTACACCAATGACCACAGTCCCAGATGATCTTCAGCATCATCTTACAACAAAATTCAGTAAGGTGAACTTCACTGATCACTGCCAAAGATCGCGAATACGCGGGTAACAATCTGCCAATTGATTCCCTCCATCATATCACACTACCTGGCAATTTCCATCACGATGAGACGGCACCTCAACGTGGTGAGATGGCTTGCGCGCCTTAGTGACCCTGCGAGCTACACAGGATGGCTTCTCACAGCCGTAG